AGTTTAGCCATAATATAGGTTAATTTGCAAATTTCATCGTAGATAAGATTTGAACCTTAGACCTGCCACTTGGAGGATGACAACCCAACCAATACACTAGGATCGCCATTCTCTATTATCTGAAATAGTTATAAAGTCATAAACCTAAGTATTTAATATTATTTTAAGAACATTTCTGGCTAATGCAATAGGTTGTTTATAAGCATGATGAACAATCTTCTTAATATTGTTATTTAAAGGCCAATTTTGCAAAACATTATGATTTTCTAAAACACTTGAATCTGAATAATGTGATATATAGTCTAAAAAGTATTAATTTTTTTTTTTTAAAAAAAAAATTTATAATCAGATTTTTATAATAAATATACTAACCAATATTTGTTGTTTTTTCTCTTTCTGACTTAAGAGAGCCTGAGGAATATGCTTTATACAAGCATGCATCTTTGGTGTTAATGCAACTAAGTTATTAAAAGAAAAGTTAGAAAAAAACTGATAGGCTAAGCCAAAAAAGTGTTCACATTCTTCTGAATCATATATCCATAGTATAAAAGGATATTAGAGATAGAAATCTTAGTAGGTAATTGTTAAAAGAATTTAAATATAGAAAGTTATATATTTATTATCACATAGTAATAATTTATATACAATTATATTTGAGTACTATAAATTCTGAAAGACTTGTCAAAATATTAAATGTTACTAGTACAATAAAATTCTTTTTAATGCTCATAAATTTAGAATAATCTTCTGTACAACTTTAAATATGGCTTTTCCAATAATTCAAAAAAAAGAAACTTAATATAACTATTCTGCATTTTTCAAGCAATGAAATTTTACAATTTTGAAAAACATCAATTAATTTACTTATAATAAAATTTTTGCTTATCAGTTAATTTATAAAACAATTAATCAGGTTTTTTTAAAAATTATTTAACCAATTAAAAACAAATAAAAAAATGTATAATCCATATTTTTCAATATCGACTTGGTTGTTTTTATTAATAACTTAACTAAAAAGTAAAAAACAAAAAAGTCAATACACAGTTTCATTATTGTAATGATTAATATTTTTAACATTTTTCTTATATAAAATACTTTCTGAATTTTTTCTTAATTCTAAAATTTGATTATATCATACTAAATATTTTCTAAGTGATAATAAGTGAGCTTTAGAAAAAAGTGCATTGTAGCAATCTTTCTTTCCATATAAAAAATCAGTAATATGAATTATAAAGCCAATATTAAAGTAAATAGAACAGCTAAAATTAATATCTAGAATAATAATAATAAATTTAGAGTAAATTTACTAAATTAATTAGATTAAATTTGTAAAATAATATTTAATTTACTATAAAGCCTGTCTTTAAAAACTAATTTTTCTGTTGTTTTTATTTGCATAAGTTGCTTTTGAGCATTAAACTCTGCTGAGGCCTCATTGGTATCAAATCCAAGAATTTTAAGTTTAAGTTAGGCTGCCATATCAAGTAATTTTTTATATAGCTCAAAAATACTTGCTGCTGTTTTTATTTTCTGGTTTATGATTATTGCAATAATGCATGATAGAAATTTTGAAAGAGAAACCTATAATAATAAAGAAATATATATTATATATATATATAAGACTAAGCAAAATTAATTTTTTGGTTCTTATAACCTGGCTAAATAAATTTTCATAAAACTAAAAAAATTTAAGTATATTACTATCTAGGTAGTTTTTTAATTAAAACTGGATATTAGATTACTTTTAAATTTTATGTTATAAGAATCAAAATATTAACTTTATATGATCTAATAATAATTAAGCATATTTTTTATTAATAACTACTATGTTTATCTGTAATAAGTAAACACAAACTTAAGAAGCAATAGCATTACAAGACTTGATTATATTTACAATTTTGTAAATAACTTTATACATGAAAATTCTAATTGATTCTGTTAAAAATATTAAGCCAATAGTGCAACCAAAAAGAGAAGAAAATCTAAGTCTTTTTTTAATTTTAGTATTATCTGATATTGCAATAATTGGACCAGTATACTCAATCATATTTACAAGTCTTTTAACTCATACTATATTTTCAAAACATAACTCAGAATCATGAAAAGCATAAGGTGAGCATATGCAATATAATCTTTAAGAAAAAATTAATTTTTAATAATAAAATAAAATAAAAATAAAAAGAATTATATATACCTAATGTTTTGAATAGCATGTTTAGCTAAATTTTGTCAAAATTATTATACATTTGCAGACTAAGGTTTGCAAGTAAAACCAAAAAATCAGAAAATTGATCTGAATATTTAAGATTTTAAAGACTCTTTTTATGTTGTTCTTAATCTGCAATCTGAACCATTATATGATATAAGCTTTTGAATATTTTTTTATTATTAAAACTATTATTTTTGTTTATTTTTACAAACTTTGTCCAAAAAAAATTGTTATTGTTTGTATTGGTATTGTTTGCTAAATATAAAAGATTACCAATATCTTAGTTATAAATATATTTAACAATTAAATTGCTTTAAAACTGAATCTTTAGCATAAATTTTTTTTTGGAATTTGGCTTGTCTTATTTTGATACAACATTCTATATTGTTATAATGCTATAAATAAATTTTTATTAAAGCTTACTAATTATTAAAAATTATATGCATACTTTAAAACTTGATTGTTTTGGATTTCTTTACAATAATCATACAGATGGGAGAAACTAGTAGTATACTGCTTATATAAAACAGATTATACTACTAAACCTTTAATTTTTCATTTAGATTGTCAAATTATTTCACTATTCAATAATTGCAATTTATTTTCAGAAAGATTTTTATATATTATAGTCTTGTCTAAAAAATTTTTTTTTAAAAAAAGTTGCTAAGCAATAATTTCTTTTCTTGATGCTCTATTATAAGTAGTTTGAGTAAATACTCGATTAATATAAGCTTTATAAATCAGACTATTTAATTCAGAACAAATAAATCATTTTATAATAGGCTTATTATTTTTTAAAACTAATAAAAAAAAGTTTAAAATTAAAATAATGCCATATTGAAGCTTGCAACTATTACTATCAACATGACTTTTAAAATATGTTTCATCATAAGCTTATTTAAATTTAATAACTTTTCTACATTTACAAGTAACTAGAAAACCACAATTAGATATATAAACTATTATCCACCTACCACCAAACCTTAACTAAAAATAACGAACAATTAACTAACAAAAAAAAAATTATTAGTTTTTTTAATAAGGTTTCTTTGTATATTTAATTATTTTTGAAATTTTACAAATACAAACTATGCATAGATACTGTTTTACTATCTAATTTAACTAATTTTTAAATATAACCTTATATAACTTTATTTTTTTATTTACTTTTAATAATATAATATTAATAACTATTATTTAGTTTTAAATATAATCTTTAAACTAATAACCAGTTTTTAAATATAATATTTTTGTAAAAAATTAATATTTTAGTCAAAATTTCAATGTAACCTTTATATGTATTATTCAGGATCCTGCTAGGATATTGTCTTAATTAAGTAAGAAGCTTATGATAAGTGATTTAGCTAATTTAAAAGAAATTAAAGATTTATAAGAAGGATCTCAAAAAATTAAAATTTTTATATTTTATATTTTTTTATTTTTTATTTAATATTTTTATATATTATAATTAGGTTTTTCTGTTTTATTTTTATATCTTTATTTTTTATATATTTAATAAATATAATTAGTTTTATTTGCAATTATAACTTTAAATTTTTATAATTAAATATAATAAAAATAACTAAAT